ACTTCTGTGAACTGTGCCACCGCTCCTCCGATCCAAAAGCCATTTAACCCGCATTAAGCGTAGAAGCCAACGCTGTTGCTTGCCGTTCGGCAGTTATTCTTGCCCTCATCAGAAAGACGCAGTCAGGCCGCAGAGAAACTCTGACCTCACTGAGGCAGCGCGCAGGAGGACTTGTGAAAAAGGGTACTTCACCCTCAGATCAACTACTGGACACGTTATAAAAGGCACTGGGAGCAATGGCATTATGCATATTTACCTATCGTTGACTGGTATTATCGCTGAAGATGGAAGATCTGAAGTGCCGAAATTCGTTGACCTCACTATTCACTTAACCACCATGCTGCACTTACTTGTAACACTCACTAGGACAACATTATTTGCGTACTCCAGGCGAGCAAGTCGGATACACTGAACTGCTGCTTTCCTCAGAAATGAAACTCTCCATTTGCTAGGGTCAACGTTGTTTGGAGGAGAAAGTGGAAAACAATATTACAATCAATTTGGCATGTCTTCAGTCATGAGCAGTTATAGATGGTACACGAAGCATTAATAAATATCTACAACACGATGGACCTTCTTTTTTGCATACACTAACTAGGTACTTGGAGCAACAGATTTTTATTGTTTCGGCATTGCTCTAGGCGAAAAATGATCTGCCAAATGAACCGGTCACTAAAAAATGCTTCAAGTTTGATTTTATCGGTTATACGGCTGCAAACGTTTGAATTTGCATCACAATTTCGCTTAGTGAATGCCTTGTACACGTTTCCATTCCGTTACACAAAATGAAGCGAAGTCCCCTATAAAATTACTTTCTGTGATATTGGTATAATAATTCTGTGGTGCGTTTTTGAGCACAGTACGACGGATGAATGCGGAAACACGCAGTTGAGTCATGACAGTAGTTCGAGTGATGTTTTGGTGCTTTGAACTTCGGTTCCTAATTAATGCACTTTCTGCCTCTTCAAGTTCGGTATGAGTAGAATAAGAGGAAAATGAGACGAAAGTTAGTTCTGGAGTGCCGGAAACACTGACTAAGATCAAAACTATCATGAATCTTGAAAACTCTGAACGATTGGATCCTTAAATACGAGCCACGGTAAGACTTTCAAGTTGGCCACGAACGAGTAAACTTTGGCTTCGAGTCGTTACCATTACCTAATAGCGTTGAAACTCACGAATGTTTCAGTACAAAATGTGCCTATCTCACAGACCGCAGAGCATCAGCCTCAACGAACTGTAGTCTCTTGCGACGGTGGCAGTGAACTATTCGCACACGAACGGGCTCATGTAGGCTATCTATTCCGTTAATGTGTGTCATGACCTGACCGCGCCAACCCGTCAGAAAGGCGAAGACGGAACTCCGCTGCGAATGTTCGAACATGCGACGAGGGCAAACTGAGCAAGAACCTCAGTTGTTAACTCGAACGTTATCAAGCAGGGCAGATATGAAATGATAAGGAGACAGCTTTGTCATCTAATAAACGCAATATTGTCAATTAATGCACATATAACAGTAAAGAACCGTAATGCATTTGATAATTTAGTTAACGTATTTTATCTTCCACAACTACCAGCTTAGATAAATAGTTTGTCAGAAGGTGCCGATCAGTCGTCAGAACGTGCGTTTATACAGCCCTTAAGCTAGCTGAATCAAAGGAGATCAAAGCGAGTATCAGAATGCACCTCCTTTCCAGCTATCTGTTGCGTAGATACGTAAACGATGACTTTACTGAGTGAGATTCGAAGGCAAACAGCTTAGTTTAA